ATCCTACCACTACCATTTGTTTGACAAGAACACACTGATAGTGTGATCTTGGGCTAGTTGCTTCAACTTTTGGTGCCCTCAAAGGACTGTCATAGATCTAAATGAGGCTACGAATGCTTGCACCAGTGTACATCTCAGTGAGAGAAGGAGTACATTTCAATGGCATACTCATACATGGACATCACAGCTTTCCCCCAACTTCCTACATTTGATTTGTCTCTACTTTTTTATTTTGGTAGAGTCTTGCCCAGGCTGGCTGTTGCCCAGGCTGGAGTGCAATGGCTCATAGCTCACTACAGTCTTGAATTCCTGGGCTCAAGAGATCATTCTACCTCAGCCTCCTGAGTAGCTGGGACTACAGGTGGGTGCCATCGCGGCTGGCTAATTTAAAAAAAAAATTTTTGTAGAGACGGGGGGATCTTATTATGTTGCCCAGGTTGGTCTTGAACTCCTGGAATTGAGTATCTTCTTGCCTTGGCCTCCTGAAGTGCTGGGATTATAGGCATGAGCCACTTTGCCCCGCCTCATCTCTACTTCTAGATCAAATTTTCTAATGGGTTAGGATGCAATGTCTTATATTTCTGCAAAATGGCTGCAAAATGAAATCTTTTCCTAGTTTCATAACTATCATGGATTGAAATGTGTCCCCTGCACAATACATATGTTGAAGTTCTAACTCTCAGTACCTCAAAATGTAGTCTTTTTTGGAAATGGGATCAATGCAGATGTAATTAGTTAAGATGAGATCAAACTGGAGAAGGGTGGGCGTCTAATCCAATATGATTGGTGCCTTCATAAACAGGTAGAATTTGGAGACACATACACAGGGAGAACGCCATGTGAACATGAAAGCAGAGGTCAAAATGATGTGTCTACAAGCCAGGGAACACCAAAGATTGCCTGCAAACCACCAGCAGCCATGAGAGAGGCATGCGGCAGATTCTTCCCCACAGCCCGCAGAAGGAACGAACCATGCGGATATCTTGATCTTCAACTTCTAGCCTCCAGACCTGCAACACAATAAATCCTGTTGTTGAAGACACCTAGTTTGTGGTGCTTTGTTACAGCAGCCCTAGCAAATTAATACAATATCCAAGCGGTTATTGATTTTTGAGGAGAATCTTGGCATTCAAAGATTGTTCACATGTGACGTCAGCACCTACAGCCTGTCACTTATACACGATTTATACATGATTTAATTAAAAGCGGCATGGTGTGTGCATTTTAAAATATAAAATGCTGCTGCAGGCCAGACCACATGGTAGCTCACGCCTATAATCACAGCAGTTTGGGAGGCCGAGGCCAGCGGATCACCTGAGGTTGGGAGTTGGAGACCAGCCTGACCAACATGGAGAAACCCCATCTCTACTAAAAATACAAAATTAGCCAGGCATGGTGGTGTATGCCTGTAATCCCAACTACTCGGGAGGCTGAGGCAGGACAATCGCTTGAACCCGGGAGGCAGTGGTTGCGGTGAGCTGAGATCACACCATTGCACTTCAGCCTGGGCAACAAGAGCGAAACTCCATCTCAAAACAAAACAAAGCAAAACAAAATAAAACTGCTGCTGCATTGACAGGCCGAGAGGAATCGGAACAGCACTTGTTGGGTTTCCCCACTCAGTTAGTATTATATCATGTCCCCTTTGTACAATCATATTTCTACACAACTGTTGATCATGCCTCTCCAATAAAGTCCCCATAAAAGACCCAAGTGGACGGGGTTCAGGAAGCTTCTGAGCTGGCTGAACATGTGGAGGAGGTTCCTGGAGGCTGGAGTGCCCGTGGAGGGCATGGAAGCTCTACACCTCTTCCCCCAGACCTCACCCTATGAATCTTTTCGTCTGTATCCTTTATGATATTCTTATAATAAACTGGTAAATGTAATGTACATATACACATATATGGAAATATGTTGAAATTAGAATTTCCCAAAATTAGAATATACGTACAATTCTAATTTCAATATATTTTCTAAAATCAATTTGTCACTTATTAACTGTTTTTGAGCTACAAAAACAACAATTTCATTTGGTTCACCCTAAGATTCATGTGACTTCTGGGCCAAAACTCTGGCTTCCCTCGCTGTTTGCTTAATGGGACCACTAGGGATCCATATTTTGGACCAGACTCGTTAATATTACGTAGATTTCCAGCTATGTGACTTTGGCCAAGTCCCTTATCTGCCCTGAACCCTTTTCCCCCTGTAAAACAATGGGGTGGGGATAGACTCCCTCTAAATTCTAGCTAAGACATTCTAGGACTTAGAGGAAGCCTTGATCTAGGCAGACTTGATGACCCTTGGTCCAGTGAGCCAAAAGCAGGGCTGCTTACAGAAATCAGCTCAGCTAAATAAAGGGTTTGAAGAAAAATATTAAAATAGAGGCCTCTAGCAAATTAAATATTCAAAGTGAAGAACTCAGAATTTATTGAAAGCCTATCACCATTTAAAATGCATAATTTTAGCATAAATACTCTAGAAATATTCCTTTTGTTTGCTGTGTGTTATTGTTAATAAAGGAGATCCCACATCTAGATTTGTCATATGTCATTAATGAATCAACCATAGGATGCAAATTATAATTATTTTGAATTATCTATTTACTGTTTAATTACATTTAATTTTAGGTTCTCCTAAAATGGCCTAATAAAAATTTGGGGTGCTAAATGACTGCCTCATCTGCCTTACTGTGTGCTACTTGCTGAAAATAGTTACATTAATTGTTTGGGGATTCTTTTTCTTAAAAAAAAAAAAAAAAAAACTAACCTGGGGTCATGGTCCTAAATACAATATCCTAAAAATTTTATGCTTTTCTTTTTTTTGCCAGGGTTGTAGTAAAATGTAAGTTAAACTAAACTCATTAAAATAAACCTTTGCACGTTACCACTGAATCAATTGGATATAATCTGAATAACAACTAAATAAAAGTCGCATCAGTGCTACCCTTAGACCAGGGCAAGAAGGCCTCTGCCCTGGCTTCTGTGTATTACAGAGTCTGTTCTAGCCCTTGTCTGCCCATGCTGCTCCACGCAAGGCAAGGAGGTCCCAGGGCCAGATGACAGGCCCACCTGGGGTGCTCACACACATACACACACATGCTCTCCTAGAACACATTCTAAGTACCCAACACCCTTACCTTCCCTGCTCAAAGGGGCCTAAGCTGCTTTCTAAGGCTTTAAAAGACCTCTTGGCTGGGTCTTTCCTGCAAGGGTAACCATCACTGGCATGCTCACTGCCAGGCCAAGAGGATGCTGAGGTGGGGATGTGAGCAGAGTTGGGACTTGTTGGCTGGACAAGGAGGAGGAGAAGAGGCAAGGACACACATCCCTGCCTGTGTATGAGACCCCTCACAGTGCAAAACTGAGCCTGGGGTGGGAAATGGGGTTGGGGGGAGCTGGAGAAGCAGGCAAACTATATTCCACCCTGGTTTTCCAGGTTCTTAAGAAGGCATATTGGTCGAAGTGGAGAGGAGAACACATATTTTACCTACAGTTTGTTATCTTGAATTATAATTTAATATTTAGGCGGACGGTATGAGGGCCTCCATTCACACTCTTGCCCTGGACCTGGCAAATGTGAACAGAAGGCTGAGTAAAATCACAGTTTTGTGTTGTTGGCCTTTGAGTGTTCCATCTCTCTTACAGTTTTAGTTTGTCACACCTTGCACCTTGTATGTGTAAGTAAAATTTATGGCATAGGAAAGAAACCAAAAGAAGTGAAGAATAAGAGACTAAAGAAACTCTACAGGCCGGGCATGGTGGCTCACGCCAGTAATCCTAATACTTCCGGAGGCCAAAGTGGGTGGATCACCTGAGGTCGGGAGTTCGAGACCAGCCTGGCCAACATGGTGAAACCCCATCTCTTCTTAAAATACAAAAAATACTCCCCCCCCCAAAAAAATTATCTGGGTATGGTAGCGCACACCTGTAATCCCAGTTATTCAGGAGGCTGAGGCACGAGAATCTCTTGAACCTGGGAGGCAGAGGGTGCAGTGAGCCGAGATCACGCCACTGCACTCCAGCCTGGGCAACACAGTGAGACTCTGTCTCAAAAAAAAAGAAAAAAGAAAAAAAAGGAAAAAGAAAAGAAAAGGCAGGAAGGCAGGCAGGCAGGCTAAGGCTTAATTTTTCTGCCCAGTGGGTTTTGGAATATGGTTGGCTTCCTTCAGGAAGCTTTTTCCCCACGTTGGTGACGATAATAAAACCTGATGCTTTCTATATGCTGGGCCCTCTTACAAACACTAACACATATTAACAATCGAATCCTAAACTAATCCTGTGTTAACAGCCTCCCATTTTACATATGAGGAAACCTGGGGTGACTTGCAGACGGCCTGGCAGCTGGGACGTGGATAGGGAATCCAGGGCTCCTGCTAGAGGATCCTACAAGACATTAGGAGCACTGTCCATTAGAGCTGTCTGCACAAACGTCTGCTTCCCAAGCAACTAGTTAGCAACTTTTCCCTGTCGCCAACGATACTGGCACCTGGAACAATAAACACATCCTTAGATTCAGCACGGATTTTCGAGTAAGGGGTTGGTCCACTGCCGGGGCTGAGCACAGCTGTTTAGCATTTGAGGGTTTGTCTTTTTTTGTGTGGCGTTTTGTGTCGCGTTTGAGTGCTGATATAATAGAACAAGCTTAGCACAGTGTCTGGCACTCAACAAATCCTGGCAAGAAAGGAGGCCGAGGAAAAGCAAGCGAGGAGAGACAGAAGAAAGGGAGGGACTGAGCCTTGCAACGTTAACGTAGTTTGTGCGAATTCTGAAAGGTGACGGGAAAGGAGACGCGGGTTCCGATGGGGAGAGGAGAGAGCCCCGAGCGCCCGCCCCTCCGACGTGGTCCGCCAGGGCCTCACGTAGCCCAGCGCCTGCCTCACGACGCCCCGCCTCTACCACGCCTCTTCCCCGCCTCATGCAGTTATTCGTCCCGCCCCCCACAAAGTCGGCCTCCGCCCCGTCCGTCAGCGGCGCCCCGCCCCCACGGCGTCTTGCCCCGCCTCCTGCAGGCTGCGGGGCGCGGTGTTTACCCGCAGTGCATGGTGGGGCGGTCTCCTCCGGCAACCTCGGCCCAACGGCCGGCCAGAGGCTGTGCCGAGGTGGCACAGCGACAGCAGCATGAACTGGACCCTCGCATCGTCCGTGCCTCAGTCGAGTCCCGACTACTACGAGAGGCTGGGCCAACTCCAGCATGGGCTGCGGGACAGGTAAGGGCACTGGGTGGGGGTGGGGAGTCGGCCCGCGCCGAGGGTCTTCCGCGTGCCCTGCCCGCTTTTCCTTCCCGCTCCCCCGCCCGAGGTTCCCCGGGGTCCAGGCCCGCGCGAAACTCCCCCCAGGCTCCCAGTGGGGCCTGGAGGACAACGTTTACTAGAGCCACCCCCTGTACTGGGGGTGGGAGCGGAGAGAGGTGAGAGATCGCCCCCTGCCCCCTTCAATAGCAGCTAAAGCCTGGTCTCCGGTTTGAGGATGCGGCCGCGTCACAGAATTTGCCCAGAAGTGAAAGTGGGAGTTCTTCTGCCTGTCACTCTCCATCAAGCCTTGTGAGTTTCTCTTGCCCCCTTTTACAGGCCCCCTCCCAACTCTCTCTTCAAATTGTCATCCCGCCGTGACAGCTGCACTGCATCAATGATGACAGGTCCTGGAACGCAGACGGTTGTGTGTGTGTGTGTCAAACATGTGCCCTGTTTAAACTCAGGAGACTTTTGAGGGGAGCGAGGGCTGGCTAGATTTCCAGCGAAGGGGTGAAATTTCCAGCCAGAGAAGTCCATCTTCCAGAGGGTTCGTGATGCCTTTAAGATATGAAAGATGGGAACCACTGAAAACAGCTAGATCTAAGAGTGCATATAGAGAGAAAATTATAACGCAATGTACTATAAATAACCACGTGAAAGATAAATTGCTGGACCTCTTATTTAGCTGCTAAGTTAATTGAAGTTGTAAATCTCGTTAGTTGACAAGAAAGGAAATAGATTTTTGGATCTCTTGATAAAACATTTAATGAGTGTTAAAAGTTACAAAATCGTTCTAGTGAACAGGAGAGCTGTGGGTGTGACAATGCTAAAATGATAACAATAATTACATGGAAAATAAAGGCAGAAGTAAGTGATTTTGTAAAGGAATTACATTTATCTTATGCTAGATTTAATTCTTGTCAGATATTTACAGAGCATCTACAACAGGCTTCCTTAGTTGTCGTTAGCATTTTCTTTTACCTTGTACTCCTTTTCTACATCCTGTTTTCTTTCTGACATATCATCGTTCACCTATATCAGTGACCTCTTAATTTCTAACTTTAAAAATAAATCAATTCCTGCAGAGCTTTCCCAGTTTCAACCCATTCCCTCACTTTTGTGACTCTTGGCATTCTTACAGCACTCATAAATGGCATTCTTTCTGAACTATTAATTGTAAGTTATTTTTGTTTCCTGTGCTAGGAACACCTGGCTGTTTATAGTCCTTATGGCACAATAACTGTATAATGATTATGTACTTTATGATTAACACTTATTCCTTTAATTATTAAACAAGGTGAGGCTGTTGAAAATATATAAGGAATTTGAGTCAAATTTTATAGCCTGTTCACGGTTCTGCGTTTGGAGGTTTGTTTTATTTTTAAGTCAGTACAAATCTGTTGCTGTGTGTGTTCATTTTTCATTTTAAGAATTTATAACTAACTCAGGTTAATGCACATTGCACACAGTTATAGAGGCAAATAATTCTAGATACAGAAAAGGCTCCAGTAGAAACATCAAAACCTGGATTCTAGTCCGCGAACAATTGTGTGACCTTGAGCAGGTTGCTCCACCTCTCTGAACCTTGGTTCTTCACCAGGAATGAGGAGGCTTGACTAATATGCAAAGTAAGGCCACAGCTTTTTTCTTTTTCTCTTTGCTAGTATAATGGGCCTTAAAGTAAAACAAGAAAAAAAAAAAGCCGAAAGCTGTAGTTTTGCAAAGCAATGTGTAAAGAATATTATTGTCTGTATCCAATTTGAGTGTTTGGATGTACCTTTTTGTTTGTTTGTTTGTTTGAGACATAGTCTCTATTGCCCAGGCTGGAGTGCAATGGCATAATCTCGGCTCACTGCAACCCCCGCCTCACAGGTTCAAGCGATTGTCCTGCCTCAGCCTCCCAAGTAGCTGGGATTACAGGTGTCCACCACCAACCCCAGCTAATTTTTGTATTTTTAGTGGAGATGGGGTTTCATCATGTTTGCCAGGCTGATCTCGAACCGCTGACCTCAGGTAATCTGCCTGCCTCTGCCTTCCAAAGTGTTGGGATTACAGGTGTGAGCCACTGTACCCGGCCTTGGATGTACCTTTTTAAGCAAACAAACACAAACCATCCCAGTGATCACAGATACCACTGTCTCCTAAAATTCCTGAGTCATTTCGTAGGTTGCAACCCTAGGTAGTCACAGCTGCTTTATCAATCCAGAAACTTCTGGGAAGTGGGAGACAAAAAAAAAACCAAAACTCCCTCTTAGCCCTTTTAGAGGTGGTCATTGCAATGTTAGCTGGTCAAATAACCAACATATTTCTAGCCCAAGTCATCTTAACTGTAGCTATACATAGATGTAATTTTATCGTCTGAATGTTTTCCTATATGTGTACAGTGTTTTCTCTGCATTGTGGTGGAAGTCAATAATTGAATCTATAAAAGAATCTAATGGAGTGACTTGTTACAGTGTGTATAACACCCACAAGCATGGCAGAAACTTATGAGTGGAATTGGCTCTTACGGTTATATAAAAACATCCTTTTAAAAGGGCCCATTAGCCAGCCGCGGTTTTTTTCAGTGCCTATATTGATTCAGAGTAAGATATCATAATAGTCTAGAAACTGACACTGAGATATTAGTGGAGTAAGCTGAAGATGGTATAGAATTGTGGTATCGAGACAAAAACAGAATAACAAGTGGCTTAAAAGTAGAAAACTCAGCTAGCTAAGGATCACTTAGCTGTGTAAAACTGAAAGGTCCAAGTGAGGGGTAACTGAAAACATGAACTGTGGGTAAGCATCCCAGGGATGGGGGTTTCAAAGATTCTGAAATAGAGATTTAATATGTAGGAATTGCAAGCCATGGAAAGGCTTTTCGTTGAGGCAAATATCTGGTTTTTAGTATTAAATTTTAAAAAGACATGGAGGACTCAGCATTCAAAGGTGCTGCAGTGTGGATGAGGGGCTAGAAAATAGGCCTGTGAAGAAGAGTAAACAGGATTAGCACCGTTTTGCCTGGGAGAGAAAGCCAAGAGGAGTTTGATTGTCAGGGTATGAAGTGTTGTGATAGAGAAGTGTGAGCAGCGATGTCTGCATCTGCTGAAGATGTTTTACAAGTAAATTTTACATTCATTACTAAGAAGAACTTGCTGCTTGGGAGGTGATGGATTTCCAACGTGACTGTGGTCCTTTTTCACTAGAGGTCACAGGTGAATTTTAGAAATCAATTTAAAGTGGCTGGGCATGGAGGCTCACACCTGTAATCCCAGCACTTTGAGAGGCAGAGGTGGGCGGATCACCTGAGGTCAGGAGTTTGAGACCAGCCTGGCCAATGTGGCAAAACCCTGTCTCTACTAAAAATACAAAAATTAGCTGGGTGTGGTGGTGCACACCTGTAATCCCAGTTACTTGGGAAGCTGAAGCAGAATCCCTTAAACCCAGGAGGGAGAGGTTGCAGTGAGCCGAGATTGTGCCACTGCACTCCAGTCTGGGCAACAGAGCGAGACTCTGCCTAAAAAAAAATACATATACATATATATATATATATAAAATATAAAGTAATATATATAAAGTATATAAAATATATATATATTATATAAAATATATATATAAAGTAAGTTCTAGCTTACAAAAAAATTGCAAATGTAGGACAAAGACCTCCAGTGTTCCTGTCACCCAGATCCCTCAACTATTAACATTTTATTAGATTTTTGACACTGAGATATCTGTTGTGTATCTATTTAAATGTCTCTCTGAAACCATTAGCCTTTTCTGATCTATTTGAGAAGTGCCTATATGATGCCCCATCACTCCTAAAATCTTCAATGTATCTTTCCAGAAACCAAGGATGTTCTTGTACATAATCACACCATACAGCCCTCCTAGTGGTGAACCCAGTCCACAGACCCCATCATATTTCACCAGCTATCTTAACGATGCTCCCTTTTTTTCCCCCGGTCCAGTGGCTCACCTGGGTACCCTGCTTGCAGTTGGCTGCCACGTCTCTTCGGTCTCCCCACATCTGGAATGATTCCTCCGTCTTTCCCTGTCTTCCACGTTCCTGACAAGTTCATAGAGTACAGCTTTCATTCTAGAGGGTGACCCTCAAGCTGAATATATCTGATGGTGTCTCATTACCAGACTGCAGTCATGCTTTCTTAGGAATACAACAGAAATGAAGCACTACGTCTGGGCACAGGGTCATAGATGTATTTAGAGGCCTTCCTGTCCTTGTAATTTAATGACAAGTTGCTCACACTATCCAGTCATTCATTCTATATAAACTAAGTACCCAATTGATCGTGAAACTGCGGGGGGCGAATGGTAGCTAATAAAAATTTCTAATGTGGAAGCAATTGTGCTATTTTTCCTTCACTTCTAAGTTCACTCTTACTAGTGAGAAAGTAAAGATCTGTGATGCTGTTAGTTAAAAATGTGTGTTTTTGTAATTTTTTTTTTCCTTTTAATCTTTTTTTTTCCTTTTTAACATAGGCATACCCCAACCCTGGGGTTGTGTTCCCCAAGCGAAGATTCTGTGTCTGGATTTTGGACCCTGTTTTCCCATTAAATGAATTTTGGTTGAATAGTAGTTTCCATTTAACATTATGCAAAGGAAATAAACTTATTTAACCTGTAATGTAGCTAACAGTGACTTTTGGGATGATCTTTTTTTTTTTTTTAAAGGAAAATAACTATCTGAAGAAATATAGAAACTGATAAGAGCTCGCAAATGGAACATGGGGCCAGCCCCTTTCCCTCAGGAAGCCAACCTGAGATCACCTCTGTTGGAGTCCTTATCTTTATTTCACAGCCTTTTGTTTAGGATTCTTCGATTGCATAGGATATTATGTGGTTTCTTTCTTTGCCTTACTTAATGTTAATTTAGGTTAGCAATTTAGCTTCAGTTAGGTGGGATTGAAGCAAAATAGTAGTGCTCAAATGGAACCCTCTGTGGCTAATCCTCCTAGGCACTCTTCTTGGGACTGAAT